TCCTTTAGGCTTGCAGCCAGGAAATACAACTCTGGAGGTGAGCTCTTAGAAACACCATGATGCCTTGTCCCCTTAAATCAATTGTTTTACACGAAGCCATACTTGCTATTATCCCATCTCCAGCATCATAGCCCTAAATCCAAAATCCTTGAGATACAGCACTGTTCCTAGACTACTAAAAGGATTACCTTTGCCGGTTTAAGTATGGGTACAATACCTAGCTTTCATTGAGAGATTCCACCACATTTGCCCTAACAATGGCACTAGGGTCACTGGCCACATGAACCCTAGAAGTGTACCATCAGAAAACTCTTAGAGCTAAGTGCTAGAGCTACCTCTAATTCTTTATAGAACTAAATATGGGAAAAGAAGAAAATAAAGAGTGAGGGAAGGGAAAGAAAGTATGAGCTAGCGAAAAAGGTGACCTACTTTGGCACTTCAATATATTAGTCTGTTTCTTCCCCTCTGAAATAATCATTCTAGCACTCAAAAATTTATTACTGACTGTATACCAGTCATTGTCCTAGACACCTGAAGTATGTCAATGATACAAACAGATAAAGATGCCTGCCCAGGCGAACTTTGCATTCTAGTGGGAATAATCATTTAAACAGTGAACATGTTAAATAGGTGAATTATCTAATTTAAATTTATAAATAAATTTATTAACATTGAATATCTTACATTTTATAAGAAATACATTCTATATGGGCTGGTGGAGTGGCTCAAGTGGTAGAGCACCTGATTAGCAACTGCGAGGTCCTGAGTTCAAGCCCCGGTACCACCAAAAAAGAAATACATTATATGATATCTAAAATATAAAATGGTTTGTAAATAAATTATGCAATATATTAGAAGGTAAAAACTGTCATCATAAGAAATGATAAAGACACATTGGGACAGCTAATGAAAGCAGGAAGGGGCAGGCTCCAGTATTAAGCAGAGTGCTCAGGGAGGGTAGGCCTCATTGACAAAGTGACACTTGAACAAAAACTTGGAGGAGGTAAGGGCATTAATTCTATATAACTAACTATTTCCTTTTTTTGGCATCCAAAATGATCAGAACCAAATTTAAGGACCATCACAGTACCCAAATTTAAGGTTCCTGTGGTCTGTAAATGTGTGGTCCTTTGTCCCCTGGAGAGGCATGGCAGTAAATGGATATGCATTTTGATATCAAACTAGATTCAAATGCTGGCCATACCACTTACTAGCCACATGACTTTGAGCACCCTGTTTCATCTCTCTGAGCCTCAATTCCATATACTCCAAAACGAAGACAATAATAGTACCTCACAGGGCTCTTTTCAGGGTTAAGTGAAATAATGTAGGCAAATTCCTCTGCACACAGGAAGAACTTAATAAAAATCAGCTGTAATTATTGAGCCTTGCTCTTGTCTCTCAAAGTTTATTTACAGTTTCCTTGTTCCTGTTTTTTTTATCTTTATTGATATTTTTACATTGTTTTATAGCTTCTGCTTCTGTGGTAAGTTACCCCAAACCCTTTGTGGATTGGGGTGGGTTATAAATAAGTAAATAAATAAAAATCTGGACTGGAGAATATTTCATTACCAATAGAGTCAATTGCAAATGAGACCAAAAGCAATAAATACTGACTCTAATCTCTAATAGCCCATCAAAAACCACCAGCAAGGCAGTCTCTGGTTTCTCAGATCATCTTTCTCTCTCCCTCCTCCTCTTTCCCAAATCCTCTTCCTCCTCCAACAAGAGAGGGTAAATGAGTCACACAAAATGACTCAATAAACTGCCTAAATCCTCCCAACCTCACACAAGTGCTTCACTGCCTTGGGCCTCACAGAACCCTCCTTCTTCCCCTTCAGAAAAGAGAAAGGAAATCAATGAGGTCACTTTCCATGGTGATGAGGTTAAGGGAAGGGATGCTGGTTCAGTCAACAGTCAGACATAAGGTAGACTCTCTACCTTATGAGAGCTCTGGGCCATGGGAAAGCTCCTGAACCTCTCTGTGTCCCAGCTTCTTGTGGGTAATAATAGTCCCTGCCCCTCCCTCCAAAGATGCTGTGCAGAAAAAAGGAGAGGATACAGGGAAGCAACATGAAGGTTTATTTTCAAAGCCCTTTCCTTAAGGAAAGTGGAGTTACACCCCTACTATAGACACTCAGTAACAAGAAGCAAAGGAGAAAGATCATTTTTGAGTCCCCACTACTCTCTATTTTCACAGTTCTTCCTTGCCCTTTGAGATGGGCATCACTATCCCACACTGAGTTAGGGCTGGACTCTGAACCCAGAGCACACAGCTACAGAAATCTGAGAGGCAGCTCTGGCTTTCTGAGGCTCATTTTAGGAAAGACATCAACCAGCCTCCACCACAGGATGTCACCAGCAGCACTGGCAAAAACCTACAAGGGTTCTAGCCCACCTGGAGTATCTTGACTCTGATTCCTGAGCTGGGAACAGCAAGATTCTGGGCTAGGCTAACTGACCCTGCCAAGGACTCCCAAAACCTTCTTTCTCCTCTCACATCCATCAGCTGCCAGGACCTCTGCTGTTAAGACATCCCTGTCTATGAGCTTGGACTTTGGAATTGCCTATATCTCAATTTGAAAAAGACACCACTTAAGTGACTTTAAATAAGTCACTTATACTTTCTGATTCCTCTTCAGATTATGGGCATATCAAAATGCCTACCTCACAAAAGTGCCACAAAGATTAAAGAGAGCAATGCACTGGAAACGTACAAAACAGTTCCTGCACAAACTAGTACGCTGTTATGGTCACACTGACACTGTGGCGGGGAGATCAGCCTTATATTCCATGAAAGTGATGATCCTGACATTGGCTCAGGGAGGGAGAGCAGGTCTTTGAGCATTGCCCCAACTCTACTTCCATCCAGCCAAGCAGTATGGCCTGGTTATCTGACACTTAATCCTTTCTTCCTCACCACCACTATCTCCAAAGCAAGCTCCCTGAGGGTAACAATGAGACCTAGCTTGACTCTGTGTCCCTCCAGAAAAAAAGGAAAAAGATTAACCAAGGCCCAAGCTAAGGCCTCCCATCAGTACCAACATGTGCTGAGAATCCAGGAGAGAGAGGACACTCAGACCTGCAGAGGTCACAGTGCACCTAGGAAAAAAAAACAAGGAAACTCCATCATAACAGACAGTAATTGAAGGCTAACGGTCTCTGAAAATATCAGGGAAGCTCCATGGAAAAGGTGGTATTTGAACTGAACCTTGAAATTTAGGCAAGATATGGAGATGGGGGTGGCATTCCAGGCTGATAGCACAAAATAGTATCTAGAGATGGGGAAACAGAGTAGTTTGGTGAGACTGGAAAACTACATGGAGAAGAATGAGGTAAGAGCTGGCAGTGAAAGGCTAGTGAATGTCTCAAGAGGTGAACACAAAACAAAGGTCATAGCTACCATATAGAAAATAGGGGGAGCGGGCCTGCAATTCTAAATATGACAGTCACAGAAGACTTCTTTGAGGTGACACGCTGAAAAGGTAAAGGAGCAAGCCATGTGGTTTTTCTTGAGGAAGTTTCCAGGCAGAGAGATGTAACAGTGCAAAGGTCCTGAGGCCACAGGGCGGCTGCCATCTTGCTGGTGCATTAAAAACACCAGTATAACTAGAGCTTGGGAGGGAGAGGGAGAACAGTAGAAACTGAGGCTAGAGAGTTAAAAGGGAGCTCTGAAGGACCTAAAGGACACAATGGGCTCTTTAGCTTTTCCTGATGAAATGGAGAGCCATTGTAGGATTTCCAGTAAAGGCACAAGGTTAACAGACTTACATTTTAAAAGGATCACTGACTGCGGTGTAGAGAAGCAACTGCAGGGGGCCTAGGGTGCAAGGAGGGAGACTAGTAAACAGGCTACTGTAGAAATCCAGGTTAAGAGGATGGTGGCTGGAACTAGGGTGGTAGCGGTGTGGTGGTGGTTCTCTGTTTCCCGGTTTTAAAATGGAGCATAGACTCCAGCTCTGTGCGCAGCCCAAAGCCTCAAAAAGCTCCCATCGAGATGGAACGTCAGAAACCTCCCGCCAGCGAGGTTCCAGGCTGGGGAATGTGGGGCGCGTGGGCAGCTGCTTGCCCATCCCAACCCGTGGTGCCCACAAGAAAGCAGACAGGTGCGCGCCCCTGTCAAGAGAGCTAGACTCGGTGGAGCAAGGTGTGTCCGCTCGCTCTTGTTCTTCAAAGACTAAACAGGAAGGAGTGGGAAGACGCGAGCCTGCATGGAGTCCTGGAGTGGGTCCAGGGCACCAACACTTTGTGCACGCGGATATGGGGCTGCTCGGTGGATACGGGTGTCAGCTTCGTGAGGGAAGCGCCACAACACCCACTCCGTGCGCCGCACTCTCCCCTCACACCCCCGCCAACCGCACACACACAAACCTTTGTCTCGCTCGCCCGTACCCTCATCTATCTGCCTGTCTATCCCGTTTCAGGTTCGGTGTGTACGGCCCTGTTGGGGTCCCTCTGGCGGTCGCCGTAGCCGCGCAGCCCCGACCCGGGGCTCCCGGGAGGAGAAAATCATGAATGAAATGGATGCGCGGCTCCCACTCCCCCGCCCTCCCGAGCCAGGCAACCTTGGCGTGGGGGCGGCGCCTCCCAGGACTCCGCGTTGAGTTGTTGGGGGTGGGAAGGCTCCCGAGATGGGATCAGAGGTTAAGGGTCTGTGAGTCGGCTCCTCTCGGGCTGCCGGAGCTCCCCACCCCCCGTCCCGCCAGCCCGGAGAGCCCTGCGCAATTCCCGGGGAGCGGCGCAAGCCCGCCCGAGGGCGGGGCGGAGCCGGGGCTGGGGGTGCTGAACCGACCCGGCGGCTGCGCCGGCGACTCCGCAGCTAAAGCGCATTTGGTGGGTCGGTGGGGCGAGAGAGTGCGCACTGAGCACGGGATTGAGAGCCTGGCGGACTGACCGACGGACGGACGCCCCCGCACACGCAGACGCACGGAGCTCGGCACGGCCCCCGTCACACACACACACACAGGGACACACGCAGACACACACACACACACACACACACACACGGACACACGCAGACACACGCACACTCGCGCGCGCACATCCTCCCGCCAGCCTGCCTGCCCGCTCCCCGGCGCTCGGAGCCCGCTGTGGCCGGTAAGTGTGGCGCCTCCGTGGGCGCCTTTGTGTGCTAAGCCGGGAGGCGGAGGGCGCAGGGTCCCTCCTGGGGTGGCCAAGAAAGAGACCTCCTCCAGCCCTCAGGACCGAGGAGTCAGTGCCCGCCCCCACCACGCCCCCCTTGGGGCTCCCGTCGCCCCCGGACTGGGGGAGGGGGTCCCCAACGCGGGAGAAGGGGGTTGGCCGGGAGGGAGGGGCAGGCACTCCCCACGAAGCTCTTGCGCTGTTCCAGGGAGGTCCAGCCTCTGCGGCCCAGGCTGGTGCGCCGCTCTTGGCCACATCGCCTCTCCAGAATGTGAACCCCCAGAGGGAGGATGGAAATCATCGCTAGCCTGCTGGCCTGTAAGCCTCAGCTCCTAGCCTTCCCATCGCTTTGGCTTCCCCAACCCTTTAGCCACCCGCGACCCACCCACTCCCAAAATAAAAGCCCTGTGCGTGCCCATCCCCCAGCATATTGCTTCTTCCTGAATGAGGCCCAGGATCCTGCAAAACCCAGAGATTGCACAGGTCAGATACCTTGTGAAAGCTCACACAGCTTAGAGGGTCAGACCAAAGGAACCTTGGGAATTCATGTAACCCCTTCATTTTACAGATGTGGAAACTGAGGCCCAGTGAGGTGTCTTAACGAAGGTCACCAGAGAGTTAATGGCAAAACCTGTTTTAGAATCTGGGGTTCCTACCTTTAATACTTGTTTTCCTCCCCTAAGCAACTAAATCCTATCCCCACTGAAGCCCCAGAATCCCAAAATTCACCTGAGTATACCATGAATCTTTGTAATTTCAGCCCTGCCCCCACTTGGAACAGCAGGTGCCATTCATTTTTTACCAGCCTTACTGTTTAAAAAAAAAAAAAACAGGCCTTGAATTTGCCTCATTCAGCCTCAAAGGAAAGCTCTTTCTTTGCAAGCACTTCAGGTTTGGGATTTTATTTGGGAAAATGAAGCAGTCCTGGACCACAGATCAGATTCCATGGTGTTAGTCCTAGACTTTCCCGGAGTCATTGAACCTGGGCATCTTCAGTTGGTTAAGTAATGTGTTATTCAAGGATTCATACTCTTCTCCCACTTTGACCTGACTATATGCCCTCCCAGTCATTCTTCACTCCTTAAGGATCCCGGTTTTCTAATCCAGCCAAGCCTCTTTCAGCATTCATTTGTGGAGGTGTTCAAGTCCCCTTGGCCACCTCTTCTTCCTTGGTGTTTGTTAAATGTGGCCTCTTGGTGTTGCTGACAAAGCTGCTAGGGAAGCTTGAGTTACAACCACACCAGGTTCAGATTGTGTCTCCCTCCCTCAAGGGCAGCTGGGTGTCCCCAGAGCTGAGCCAAATGCCTGGTGCAGAGAGGATGCCCCAGAGGTAGGCTGAGGGAATACAAGCATAGCTGGAGTACAAGTGAAAGATGAAGTCGGTCACCTTGGAGGAGACTACGGATGAGAGAGTTGGCAAGGAGGACAACAATGTTCAGTCTCTAGAGACTTGAGGCACTGTCTCAAGAGTTTCCTTCTTGAGTGGGGTGAGCAACCTAACATGAACGAGAGCCAAAGTGACCAACTGGAATAATTGCAGGGGCCACTGCTGATGTCATAGTTCACATAGATTGCATTGTTCAAGACGCCAGTTCATAATGAATGGTAGCCCCCAGCATTTTGGCCTGTAGGGGCTTCCACCCTGAAAGTGAAGAGACGTGAGTTCCAGGCTCAGGCTCCCCCTCACTACTGTACAATTTCAGTCAGTGCTCATAACCTCTCTATATCTCAGTTTCTCCATCAGAAAAATAAAACCATGGGAATGGAGATTTTCAGAATATCTTTATTGGGGAGAGGCAGGAGGGAAGGAGAAGAACACTTATTTATATAACTCCTGTGGGCCTGCTTTCATCTCCTTTTACTCTGTGAGGGAATTATTCCTGACTTAAAGAAATAATGCAAATAGGGTGCTAAGCACAATGCCTGGAGCATAGAGGAAGTTTAGGAATTGGTACCACTAGAGCCCCAGCTTTATAGATATACGCTGCACTTATCCCCTTCTTCAGGGAACAGGATTTTAAGTTCTCAAAGTCCTTCACTCAAAACAGTTCCTCCCCTTACTGCCCTATTCCTGGATTTAGTGCTCAGACAGCGGAAGACATTAGGAACCCTCCCTGGAAGGAGCAAGTATCTTTGTTTATCTGTTATTTTGCACCTTAACATGAATGATTTATTAATCTTTATATAGTGTCAAAGCTTTTCTTACATTTGATCATTTATATTTACTCTTCATAACACACTCATGATATCAGTAGTGTTATCAACCCCATTTTACAAGTGGGAAGTCAAGATAGAGATTTTAACTTATCTAAGGATGCATGCCTTAAAAGTCTCAGAGCCAGAGAGCTAGGGAAACGGAGGCAGTTGTTGAGGACATTGGTGCCTAACTAAGGAATGGGACTTTAGTTTCTGAAAAGGGGAGAGAGATAATCTCACTCACTCTGGCTACTGATGGAAAACAGGTTGAGTGGGGAGAGCCTACTGGCAAGGATCTGGGTAGGAAACCATGACAGTGATTTAGGTGAGAGATAACAAGGTTCTGGACTACAGGTGGTTATAAGAATGGGTAGAAAAAGAGGTTGATGCAAGAGGTCTTATTGTCACCAAAGTTGGCAGCTGATTAGATGTGGACCCCATAGGGAAGGAGGAAGTAATAGTAAGACTTTGAGGTTGAATGGCTGAAGTTGTTGTTCACAGAAAGAGCTCAGCAGTAGGGGGAAAGAGGAGGCTTTGGAGGGAGCTCTGGGTTTGATAGGAAGCCCTGATGACTCCTGTTGAGCTTACCAGTACCCACTATTGTCAAGAGCCAGGTCATTCATTCATTCATTTGTTCTCCAATTACATATAAACATCCATGACTACCAGGTTGTTGTAGTTCTGGGGACGCATTGCTGAAAAAGGTGAACTTTCTACCTAAGCTCTATCAGGAGAGACAGAAAAAAAAAACTAAGCAAAGAAAAAATATTTTAGATGGTGAGAAGTGCTCTAGAGAAAACTAAAGCAGGATGAAGGATGACTGGAGGCAAGGATAGAGAAAGGATTCGCCTTAAACAGAACTGCCTTTGAGGTATCTGAACAAAGACCTGAATGAAGTGAGGAGGAGACCTGAAGGAATAAAAAGGGACCATCAGTGCAAAGGCCCCGTGGGAAGAATAGATGGATGTTTTCAAGGAATCTCCAATGTGGCTGTAAGAGACAGGCAAAGGAGAAGAGTGGAGAGGAAAACAGTCAAGAGATGGGGGCAGAGCCAATCAGGTAGGTGCTTATGGCCTGTAATTGCATGTTGTTATTGAGTCTAAGAGAGCCTGAGTCCTAGTCTCCTTGTATTCTTAATGCCCAGCAGAGCAAACCCTGACCCTGAACAGGGGCTCACTAAGTAGTTGTTAAATGAGTGAGTATTAGAAATGACCAGGTATGCACATGACCTCATATATGAACCAGTAACTACATTACTGCATAGGAGTGTGTAGTATGATCACAATGATGAAGCTTAAAGAACTTGAATGCTTGTGTTGTCATTTCAGTATGAAAATTTGAGTCAAATCTACATATTTTGTTCAGTGTGATTTGATACTGTAAACACTGCTACTGACTAAGACATAAGTAAAACATGCCTGAAATGACTCTAAATCAATTAAAATGGTAATAGTTTTCTCCTTCCAACACAAAGACACATCCTTCTGGCTTCATTTCACATTTTTCCTTGTTTAACTCTTGAGCCCTCTGTTATTACCCTCACAGACATTTTAAACAAATGCATTTCATGGGCTGGAGGTGTGGCTCAAATGGTAGAGCTCCTGCCTCGAAAGCACAAAGCCCTGAATTCAAACCCCAGTACCACCAAAAAAAATTTTATTAAAGAAATTCATTTCTTGCACAAAGGCCCAGATTTTTAGGATAAAGCATTATCATCTTCAATAAATTGACAGATTTTTAAAAAGACAAAGAGGGCAATGGGGAGAAAGAAATAACTTAAGGAGTATAAATTCTTTGAGCACCTAATGAATTGTTTAAATGAATCTACAAGTGGGAATGGCAAAGCTTCAGAAGGTAGCTAGTTATATAGAACAATTGTCTACATTAAATTGGGCATAGACTGTATGAACATTTCAAATTATCTGGTACCCTGTACCAAAAATGTAACCAGCACCACAGAAAACATCTGTGAACCAATGTTCTTGCCCATGTGGAAGTTGACATGATAAAATCTCTTTCTGGGTCTCCTGGCTCAAATTTCTTCTGAATCTGCAGGTTTGTCACCTCTAGAAACTGCAAACTCAGAAGTTTCCAGGCTTCTCAACTGAAAGCTGCAGCACCTAAAACAAAAACCACCCTCCTTCCTGTGTCCCCCATAAGCAACTGTGACTCAGGTTTTCATAGCTGGGATTCAGCACACTGGGTTGAAGGGAATCTCCCTGAGCTCCATGCAGGGGATCCACAGTTTGCAGATAGTAATCGACTGAGCATCATGGTCAGCATTCCTAACTTCAGGCTAATGTTCGTTGCAAAATACTGAAAATTGCTCTCCCTTTCTGTGGTGAGGTGATTGATTGCAGTTATTAGAAAGACATGCCAAGTCTCTATGTGAATTGTTATTGTTGTTACTGTTGTTTGAAGCAGGATCTCACTGTGTAGCCCAGGCTGGCCTGAAACTTGCCATCTTCCTTTGTTAGTGTCCAAGGTGCTGGGACTACAGGCATGTGCCACCACCACACACAACACCAACTTTCTCTCTCTCTGTGTGCGTGTGTGTGTGTATGTGTGTGTGTGTGTGTGTGTGTGTGTTTTGAAGATCAGGGCCTTGTACATGCTTGGCAAGTGCTTTACCACTGAGTTCTTAATGTGTCTTTTTGAAGAGTTGACATGAAATGCCCTCTTGCCCTGTCCTCCTCTCTAGAAGCCATTCAAGAGGGATATGTGGACCTCATTGGTGGCAGGATGTGGGCATCTGGAGA